TACAGCTGAAAGTTTGTCCCGTTTTACCAACCTCTCCTATTTCCCCCACCCTCGAGCTCCTGGCAACCAGTTTTCTGTTTCTATGAGTTTGACTTTTTTTTTTTTTTTTTTTTAGCTTCCACCTAAAAACAAAAGTGATACCATGTAGTATTTGTCTTTGTCTGGCTTATCTCACTTAGCATAATGTCCTCAAGGTCCATCCGCATTGTCACAAACGGCAAAATTTCCTCCTTTCTCATGCTTGGATAATTATAAAGAAAAATTGACACATCTACCACCACAGTGGGAGGTTTCAACTACTCTTTCAGCAATTACTAGACAACAACCTAAAACTAGTAAGGGTGTATTTGCTGTGAATAACAAATAAGCTTGAGACATTAGACATGCCCAAACACTCTATAATTAGTAAATGCACATCCCCCTCAAGCACACAAAATATTTATAAAAATTAGCTACACATTAAACTTTAAGCTTGTCATAACATATATCCCAGAATCAGTATTATTACCATATTACTCATTTTATGACCACAATGTAATTATGTTAGGGAATGATAATAAAAGGAAAACTGAAAAAAAAAGTCTATACAGTTGAATCTGAAACTTAGGTATATTGGGGAGTCGAGGCAATAGGAAGATGGAAGAAGGACTTTAGAACTTGCCTTGAGTTTCATTTCCATCCTCTCTCCATCCCATCACAGGTGCACTCCAACTTCCTGAACCTGTTCCAGGCCACACAACCGGGGAGTCTGCTGTTCGAGGTGCTGGTGTTCGCCGAGCGGCTGAGTGAGGGCCGGAATACACCGCACTACCGTGCCGTGAAATGGCATTACAATGAGGAGTCTCTGCATGAAGCTCTCTTTGGGGATGAGTCACACCTGGCAGACCGACTGCTGGCCCTGGTCATCCACCCTGATGAGGAGGTTCAGATCCAGGCCTGCAAGGTCATCGTCAGCCTGCAGTGCTCCAAGGACGTGGGATTGCGGCCCTCCTCCTGCCCAAGCCAGTCATTCCTACATTAATTAATAATGGGGAATAAAATTAAGGAGAGCCAATAAATGAGTATGGGAGAAAAGCTTGAGGGGTAGTGTCTGTCCAAGGTCTTCCAGGGCTGGGTAGAAATTTCATGCAGCATAACGCCTACCCTAGATACGGCAAAGCATGGCCCATCTCCCAAAACACACCCCCACTTCCCTGTTTAGGGGACAGAGTCCTTTCTCTTGCTGCTTTTCAGATTGGAATGTGGAGCCAGTGCCTCCAGGGAGCTTCGGGGAGAAGGCAGGTTTGGGGACTGAGGCCAGAGGTAATCAACAGGAGATTGTATAACGTAGGATTACTCAGGAGGGGATAGGCTAAGCCACAGGAACAAACAACTTCCAATACCTTAGCAACATAAAAATGATTAAGGTTATTTCTTATTCACATTGCATGCCCATCAGGTGGGGTTGGTGGTGGAAGGGCAGGTGGCACTTCATTGTGTTTCTACAATTCCTTTATGTTTCTACAATTTTTCGAGAAGGAAAAGAAATCTTGGCAGTGATCTTGCCTCTTAAAATTTCCACCTTAGGGCCAGCTGAGTGGCTCAGTTGGTTAAGAGCGTGAGCTCTGAGCAACAGGGTCGCCGGTTCGATCCCCACATGGGCCAGTGAGCTGCGCCCGAGCTGAGCTGTCAACAGGTGGCAGGATGGCTCAGCTGGTGAGAGCACGTGCTCCTAACAACAAGGTTTCCAGTTCGACTCCTGCACAGGATGGTGGGCTACCCCCACCCACAACTAAGATTGAACACGGCACCTTGAGCTGAGCAGCCGCGAGCTGCCGACGGGCGGCCGGATGGCGACTGGACTTGGAGCTGAGCTAGCTGCGCCCTCCACAACTAAGAATAAAGGACAACAACTTGGCTGTTCCCCTCCCCAATTCCCCAATAAAAATCTTTAAAAAAAAAAATTCCACCAGAAACAATGCTCACCACTTCTGCTTACATTTTACTGGCTTAAGGAGGTAGGGGAGACTAGTCTTACCATGTGTCCAAAGAAGAACTGAAAGTGTTTGGTGACAGAATTAATGACAGAGAACTGCAGGCATATTGGGGAGAAGTGAGGGCTCTGGAATCAGACTCAGTTTCAAATCCCAGCTCTGTCACTAGCTGTGTGACCTTGGGCAAACCATTTTACCCTACTGGAACCTCAGTCCCCTCATCCGTAAAAATGAATATAATAATACTTACCTAATGAGGGTGTTGGGAGAATTTTATGGGAGTTCTATGAATTAATGAATATGAGGCACCATGTTCTGCCTGAAGAGGGTATTCATCAAAGATTGGCTTTGGGGAGCTAGGAAATCATCATTGTGAAAATGAGACAGTATACTGAAAAGATCCTTGGAGATCACTGAGTCCAATGTTTCTTTAGTCTCTTTGGGCTACAGGCACTAGGGAGTCCCAGAGTGCCCTTTGAAGCACCCTGAGCTGCCACTAGAACTTAGCTTTAGAAACCAGAGTACTTGTGTGATAGAAACCAGAGTGACTGTGTAATACAAATCCATATCCATGAAGTCTCCAGAAACAAGAAGATTGTCAATCCAAATATGGCCACCCATTCTCAGATTTTCCCATTCACTGCATTTCCCACTTGTTCATTTATTGTGTTATCTGCAAGCCCTTGCTGGCAAACAGTACTGATTGCCAGTGGTTGAAGAAAACATTACGGGAGAAAACCGTAAAATTGGGAGCTATTCACAGTCTGTTACTACTTGATTTAGGAGGCAGAACATGTTGACTCAGCCTTGGAACCCCAGTGTTCTTCAGAGGCAGGATTTGAAAACCAAAATCTAGTCCAAGGCCAAGCCTCCCATTTTGCTGAAGAGAAAACAAACCCAAAGAAGGAAATTGATTTGCTCAAGGTCACATGACTGGTCTGGGACAGAAATAGGATTAGAACTTCCTAGTCTTGGGCTTTTGGCTTTTATATTCCTTGGCCTGTGCCCCATGAGAGTGGACCATGGATTCTAAGCCAGAATCTGTGGGGCTGAGAAATACTTCAACGCTTCTGGCTTTCTTTTTCTTCTCGAAAAATTGTAGAAACATAAAGGAATTGTAGAAACACAATGAAGAGCCACCTTCAGCCTGGGTCCTTGAGAGAAGATGATGTGGAACCAGTTTAGGACTGAATTACCTGAGGAAATCTGTCCCTGACCCATGGCCTCATCACTTGGGTGGGCTGGGTGGAGGGTTATTGAGGAAAATGGGCTGATCAGAGAGAGCCAGTTTCTACTAAGGGGCCATCCTTGTCACTATCTCCCAATGTTTGACTTGTCACCTCTGAGCCGTTATCAGATTTGCATCATCAGCCCTTATTTCGCTCTTGAGTTCAGGCCTGAGGCTGCTCCTTCCTGCTACGTGGATACACTGCAGTCACCCCAATGGAACTTACCAAAAGCCAACATCACCCTGCCCACCCCTCAACCAGCCCTGATGTCACCAGTTGGGCAACACCTTCAACTTATCCTTGCTGCTACATCCAACCAGCCATTCTGAACATCTCACATCGACCCAGTTCTCCAATTTCCACTGCTGCTACCCTATCCCCTACATCAGGACTTTTGGGTCATCACTTTCCTACTTCTGGTCTCCATCCTCTCCAGCCCTACACACTTCAGGATAATCTTAGAACCCCACATCTCATCATCCTCGAAAACCTTCAGGGGCTCCTCACTGCCATAGTGAACTTTTTCTCAGCCCCAAAGCTAAGTCACATCATCTGACAAGTATAAATATACTTACAGCAAAAGCAGGTTGAGTTTAGTTCTGGAAGATATGGTCACTGGACCCTTTTATTCATGATGGCACCAAATGAATTAGGTTTGCATTTAAGGCCCTTCCCAATCTGGTCATCTTGCCTGCTGCTAGCCTACCATGTCAAATCTCATCTCTAGCCAAACTCCCTCTGAGCTTTTGGTATAAACTTTTCCCTGCCTGCAATGCCCTTCTCCTTTTTACTGGGCCGTGTCCTGTAGTGTCATGTACTGTAGCCCAGAGCTTTTTTCAGCTGTGTCAGCCTTGGCTGCTTCCTGTGGCACTTCTCATCGGAACCCCTTGTTTGGCATTTGGCAAATCAAAGCTTGGATTTTATAAACTTTGCTCTTCTTATTGCAGTGGGTCATATCTAACTGCTTAAAAGCCTTAAAGGAAGAGCCTGCTCTGGGTAGACACGTGATGACAATTGGCTGATGGTAATGAGAAGAGAGTCGGCCGAGGATGACCAAACTTAGTATATCAACCTAGGTCCAACCTAGGTCAAGAGAGAGAAACCACACAGTAATTGGAGCAGGGAAATTTTACAATGGGATTGGAGAAACAAAGAATTGATTAGTAAGAGTAAAGAGAACTTGGGCCGGC